GGAGTTGTGCTGGAAGACCTGGATCTTGGTGGTCCTCACCATGCACGTCTCGTTCCTGTGGGGCAGAGAGGTCAGATGGGGCAAATACCCCCCAAACCCCCCAACCAAACCCGAGGGATTCAGACCTTGAGCCGGACTGCAGAGCTTAAATAAATTTGGCATGGGCTGCTCTCCAGCCCCAAATTTGTGGGGGTGTCTCAGCCCAGAGGATGGTACCAGCGGGTGGAAATGTCCCTGGGGATGGGGGAGCCGGGTGAGGGGGCGAATCCCTGTCCTTACAGTCTTGAGATTTCAGTGACGTTGAGCTCGTCCTCGTGGCTGCCGGGAGAGAGGGAAAAAGCCGCGTATTTCACCTCCCTCAGCTCTGCCAGGTGAGGCGGGTACTTGGAGGCGCCGATGATGTAGATCCACTGTCCCAGGAGCTGCGGAGAGGAGGGGAGTGGGGAAGGGTGAGGGTCTGTGCCGGGTTCACCTGTGGGCACCACGTGAGTAAAAGCAGACGCTGTGCCCTGCCACGAGCAGCCCAGTAGGTGACCGCCCTGGGCAGGATTGGGTGAGGAGCTCTTGGTTTTATCCCCTCCCCGCTAAGGCGATGCTCCAGCTCCCGGGATGGCCGGTTTGTTTCTGCGGTCGTGTGCCTCCTGCTCTGTGCCCGGCTTTCATTGCTTTCCTCCCATTAAACATCCCCAAGGGACTAAATACTGTTTATGCAGTGAAGGGTTTTGCAGATGGAGACTCGTGACCCAAGTCCCCGTCACGTGAAGGACTTAGAGAGCGGCGAAGCACTGGGGACGGTGCTGCCCAGCCTGGTTTGCACGGGGAGATGGAATCAGAAGCCCCCCCAAAAGCGCCTGCTCATGAGTTTACGGGTGCAGAGCTGCAAGGCTTCACCCCGTCCCCACGCTGCTGTGCAGCAGTCTTGATTTTTTTAGGAAAATAAGCATGGACAGGCAGTGAGAGAAGAGCCAAGCTGCCGATTGGGTTCATAACCTCTCCCCGGCCCCGTAACTGCTCGCGATGCTGATAGGAAAGGCGAGGACGGGCGTCCCGGCTGAGGGCAGGGCTTACCCCAGGGATGGTGGCATTGTCAAAGGTGACCGGGACGAGCGGGGCGCAGGTCGGGGGCTCGG